ATCAACGAAACTGTCGCCACGTTCGAAGGCTGCTGGTGTGTCCAGCGGGGTGAAGCACCGCGCAAATCTGAGCGAGACCTTGCCGTCCCTGGGGGGGCTGCGATATGCGAAACCGTCGACATGTTCGAGGATTGCTGGTGGGTCCAGCGGAGTGAGGCACCGCGCAAATCTGAGCTAGACCTCGCCGCCACTGGGGGGCTGCGGTCTGCGAAACCGTCGCCTCTTTCGAAGGCAACTGGTGGGTCCAACAGAGTGAGGCACCGCGCAGATCTGAGCTAGACCTCGCCGTCCCTGGGGGGGGGGGCTGCGATCTGCGAAACTGTCGCCACGATCGGGGGTTGTTGGGGGGGGCAGCATAGCGATCTGCGAAACAATCACCACTTTCGAGGGCGGTTGGTGGGTCCAGCGGACTGAGGCACCGCACAAATCTGAGCAAGACGACGCCGTCCCTGGGGGCTGCGATCTGCGAAACTGTCACCACTTTCGAGGGTCGCTGGTGGGCCCAGCGGGGCTGGGCACCGCCTAAATCTGAGAGGACCTCGCCGTCCTTGGGGCGCTGCGATCCGCGAGAATGTCGTCATTTTGGAAGGCAGTTTGGGGGGGCAGCGTAGCGATCTGCGAAACTGCCACCACTTTCGAGGGTTGCTGGTGGGTCCAGCGGAGTGAAACACCGCGCAGATCTGAGCGAGACCTTGCCGTCCCTGGGGGGCTGCGATCTGCGAAACCGCCGCCACTTTCGACGGCTGCTGGTGGGTCCAGCGGAGTGAAGCACCGCGCAGATGGGACCTCGTCGTCCTTGGGGGGCTGCGACCTGCGAAGCCGTCGCCACGTTCGAAGGTTGGTGGCGGGTCCAGCGGAGCAGGGCACCACGCAGATCTGAGCGGGACCTCGCAATCTTTGGGGGTTTGTAAGCCTCGCGAACGCGGGTCGCAAAAGTATCTGCGCCCATGCCACGTCATCACCTCCGTATGACGTCTCTCAAGCCACTCATGCCCCGCATTGCGCAGACATTGGGAACGTCGCAACCGAAATTTTCTGCCTGCCATGACCCGTACAGGGCAAGGGTGTGCCTCTATCCGGGCAGCGAACGCAAAACGGAAGCACGCGAAGAGGAGCAGCCGCATAGAACATGACCCTGAGACGCACCCGGCCCATCGGCACCTAGAGATGATATAAGGTGTGCCAACAAAATTGTGACTGGAACACTGCAAGAGTCGGCGCACGGCGGATATCTATATCGTGCGAAGTATGCATGGACGACTCGCATAACAGAGGTACAGCATGCCAGGAGGCACTGTACTGGGAAGGATGGGCAAAAAGAAGACACCGGGGTGGAAAAACCATCACCTCGGCAGAAGCAGCGAGATGATGGAGCATGCGCGAGATACGGCTACTGAGGCGGAGACGCAGCCTGGCAATGAAGAGTCGCGTGTTGTCCATGCCGAGATGCTCAACGCCTGCGCGGCCAACGCTCCGCGTTGCTGCAGCGCCTCGGACATTAAAAACTCCCCTTGCTGGTGCAAGAAACGGTCAAGGCCTAGCTCGCCCGATGCCTCTCCGCTTCCACCCTGCACCTCTTAGTGCAAGCACCAAACGAAAAAGGCGACGGTTTCTCACTTCGCAGCCTCCCAGAGGATGGCGAGGTCCTGCTTGGATCAACGGGGGACCCCTCTGTTTTGGCCCCCCCAACAGCCCTCGAAAATGATAACACTTTCGCACTTCGCAGCCCCCCAAGAGGGATGGCGAGGTCCCAGTTGGGTCTGCGCGGGGCCCCACTGTTCTGGTCTCCCCAACAGCCCTTGACCCCCCAAGAGGGATGGCGAGGTCCCGTTTGGGTCTGCGTGGGACGCCACTGTGCTGACCCCCCCAGCAGCCCTCCAAAATGGCGACGGTTTCACTCTTGGGAGCCCCCAAGAGGGATGAGAGAGGAGAGAGCCCAGAGGAGAGCGGGGCGACCCCAGTGCGTCCTTCAAAACAAGAACCCAACAATGGGAGGGTTGGGAAGTACATGGCAAAATAATAAGTGGGCGGCAGCGCATCGGGGAGGCGCGTGCTGATATCCCACGTGGCAGGAGTAATGAGGTTACCATTTCGGGAGGGGGGGGCGCCAGTGGATAAACTAATTCGAGAAGTGAGAGGCCGCCATTGGATCATCAAACGGGGGAGATCGACAGTGTGGTGGCCAAGCTGCTTCTGTGGACTGTAGCAGTTGGCTTGAAAGAAGAGGGGAGGATAGAGAGAAGGCTCTCTCGACAGAGGGCAAAACATAAAAGGATGTAGTAGTTGGTGTGGTGTAGACAAGTTGTTAAACATGATGGTGCTGCCCCACAATAAAGACACCCTCTTCCAACACGCAGGCCCGAATTGCAATACTAGTTTACTGCTCACACTTGGACAGGTGCTACTGCTGGTGGGCTACACATGCTCTCTAGATTGAAGGCTGCTCTACTCTACAATGGGTGACATATAACACTTACAGGATCAAACCGGTGGGAGCTGGCATATGCGGCAGCTTAGGGAAAGGAGCGCGTTGGTGCAGCACTTGCAGGAGTTCGCCGCTGAAGGCTGGATGCGTTCCCCGCTATAGCAGCCGCTGCTGGCAGTAGCGCTGAGCCTGCTTATGGTGGATCGGTGGGTCCTCCGAACTGCACTGCCGCTGCTATAGATCACCCTCCTCATCCTCTCCCGTTCCCTTCATCCGACTCCTCTTCGGTCGGGCCTGTCCCCCTACAGGGGGATTTTGGACGAAAAATGATAAGATATTCAAACTGCTCAAAAACAGTCCAACAATCCTCCCCACTTCTTCAATTCTTGAATATTCCTCCTGTAGTGGGGCATGGAAGACGGAAGACTCCCTCCCCTCTCCCCCTTTCTCGTCCTGGCGCCCGCCTCCGGCGGCGGCAGTGCCACGGCGCGGCCAGGCGCCGCGGCGGCGCTCAGAGCCCAGTCCTGGCCGAGGAGGGCTGGCCTTGTATACTGGGGTAGGGGGGCGACGGCGAGCGTTGGGTCGGGCCTGTCCCCCTATGAAAGGATTCTGAGCGAAAAGTGAAATTATCCGAGTGCGACCCTACCTAGGAATTGGAGCCTCTAGGAAAGCAACATTAGTAGGAGCGGTAAACGCCGTCCTCCTCCTTCTCCTCATCGCCGTGCAGTAGCGGTATGTTATGCTGTGCTATGCTGTGCTATGCTATGCTGCTATGCTGTCCTGTCCTGTCCTGTCCTGTCCTGTCCTGTCCTATGCTATGCCATGTTATGCTATGCTATGCTATGCTATGCTATGCTATGCTATGCTATGCTGCGCAATGCTATGCTGGGCTATGCTATGCTATGCTATGCTGCGCAATGCTATGCTGGGCTAGGCTAGGCTAGGCTATGTTATGATTTGCTATGCTATGCGATGCTGCGCTATGCTATGCTGCGCTATGCTATGCTATGCTATGCTATGCTATGCTATGCTATGCTATGCTGTTGCTTTGCTTTCGCTGTTGCCTTCACTTTTGCCTTTGCTTTTGCTGTTGCTTGGCACCCAGGGGGCGCAACTGGGGGAACCGCGCGTTTGCTTTTACCTTTGCTGTTGCTTTTGCTTGGCTCCCAGGGGACCGGGGGAACCGCCCGGGGCGGTTGACACTGCCCGGCCCTGTTAAGCTAGAGAGTAAGAACCCTTCTAGGCAGAGCCTAGGTAGGGAACATACTCTAATCAACAAATGCTCATCTATAGATACAAAATCGTCCCTATACTAATTGGTGAATATTTTTGAATACCCCTCCTGTAGAGGGACAGGCCCGACTGAAGGCGAGCGAGGAGAGGGGGGGGGAGGGGGGGGAGGATGGGGGGAGGGGAGCGAGGTCGAAAAGAAAAAGGGGAAGGGGAGAAGGCGAGAAAAACGCCGTGGGGGAACAGAGGGCGAGGAGGGACGCAGACTGATGCGCCTCCGCCAAGGGAAGACCCCGAGGCAGAGGTCCAGTTCGACAAGGCTCAGCCATCACACCAGCGCGCGTGGCTGAGGAGGGGGGTCCCGACCCGCACCCCGCGCCTAGCCCAGGTCGCCCAGGGCCAAATAGCCATTCAGGAGCATGCGGCACGGGAGGAACGACGCCGGGAGGCAGGGTGGAAGGGGGCGGGGGATGAAGAACAACTAAACGAGTGAGCACCCGCCTGAAGGGGGGTCAGGAACGTGGATAGGCTCACATGTCTTCGCGTGATTGCCCTGCTCATCACGTCTGCCATGCACGTTTTGATTCGCCAGCGTGGAAGGAGCCTTGGTTGGCCCCTTGCCGTGAGCACCACAGGCCCAAAACAGAACATGTCGTGGCCGAGCACCTTGGAGACAAAAAAAACCTACGCGGCGTCCTCCTTTGCCCCACGACCACGGGGATGGGGAGGCCCTGGACCGACGACGGCTCAAGTTCAAGACTCGGCCAGCAGCCCCACCAGCCATCTGTGCAGCCTCGGAACGGACCACAGAATAACTGGCGCCAGGAGCTCTGAACCACTACTCGCAAGCTAGTATCTGGACAGGAAGACGGTCAACAATTCCTTGTATCTCTGCTGGTCAGGCGGCTCTTGAACGAAATCGCCGCGCGAGCAAAACGCCCGATGCTGCAGTCTCCTCGCTCTCCCTTGTCCTTTCCTTCCGTAAGTCCTCTCTTCCCCTGCGTTAGGGTCTGCACGAACAAAAAACAAGTTGCGGGCAAGAACGCTTTTCAGCCAAAGGGGCAACATCTAGGACGAAGAGGGTTTGGGATATACGTGTTGAATGGTACACGAACAGACACGAACAAATAATCTTAAAGTGACTCATAATGATTGCTGTTGTTGTGGGTTCTCTTCATCGGAAGCAACCAGTGTTGATCCCTCCTATACAATGGCCAATTTTCTTGTTCAATAAAAGTAGTCGCCCTGGGGCCCGCACCTGGTTTCATACAATGAAAGATGTGGGGTCGCCAAACGGGGCCCGTGGCGCCCGAGTTACAACAACAACAACAACAACAACGACAACACCAACAACAACATTACCAACCACAACGACAACAACCCAAACAAAGACAGCAACACCAACACCAACAGCAACAACACACATAACAGCATCATCCTCGCCAACATCAACAACGGCTCCCACATGACACTTCCTGGAAAGTTCTTTCAAACTCGCGCTCTCGCGCGGGACATCCTCACAATGTATACAGGAAGCGTGCTCGTGTGTGGGATTCGTTAGCAATGGATTCAAACACCGCGCCCTCGACGCTCATGGGTCGCGCTCTCGCGCTGGCTTTCTTGCGGATTACTTTGGGGTCGCGCTACCGCTCGAGGCCTCTTCGCGGTTCATGCAATTCTCACGCTTTAGCAACCCTCCTGCTCGACCTGGCCGCCTGGGCCCGCCTTCCCGACCCGCCCGGTAGGGTCTACCCGCCAGGTGTGCCCATCTGGCGTTGCCGCGTGCTTTCTGTTCATAGCCTCCCTTCTGCTACTCCTGTGATCCATCTCGCTCCCGCCCCCTTCCATCCGTCCTCTCTTCCCTTGTCTTAGGGGCCGACGCGCGGCAGGTAAGGAAGATACACACCAAGGGAGTGCGATCGAAGACGAAAGAGGCAGGTATCGAGGGTTTGGGATACAAGCTTCGAAAGGCAACCGAGCAGGTAAGAGCGAACAATATCAAAATGACTGTTGTTGCTGTCATCGTCCCACTCGCGACCCGCCCGCGACGGCCCACCCACGACCCACCCGCGACCCACCCGCGACCCACCCGCGACACACCCCCGACCGAACCGCGACCCACCCGCGACCCACCCGCGACCCGCCCGCGACCCACCCGCGACCCACCCGCGACCCACCCCGCGCCCCTTAGTTGCAGCTGCGGGATACTACATACATTGAACAACATGGAGTGCACCACGTCGCTTGTACCGCACACATTGCACCACCAAGATCCTACGTTGCACCACGTGCACTGCGCCACGTAGGCTGCACAAGGTCGATTGCACCACATTGATTGCGCACCGCATACATGACACCACGTAGATTGCACAGCAAATACTGCGCATCACACAGGTCGCACGACCAAGCATATTGCGCCACACATAGTGCCAAAACTAGACCCTAGACTGCACCACATAGATTTCTCAACAAATACTGCACAACCGATATGGAACAACATAGACTGCACGACCGATTTTGTACAACATATATTATGGCATCACGTAGATAGCATCACATAGGTTGCCCCACCTCGATTGCACACCAGACCTTCCTAAAAGACACACAAGTTGGGGCCCACGCTGGCTAACATGTTTTCGACATGGGATTATCGCTGGCCACCAACTTGAGCTGTATGATCAGATGCCCGTTCGCATTCCTGCTTGCGCGTTGGAGCGGTGCAGTGCAGATCGTTTCCAAAACGGGGCACTCGCCTGAATGGCAGGCCCATAGGATGCTTGTCTTTCAACAGTGCGGCTCTTGTAAAAAAGGAAGAGAACCCATTAGGAGAATGCATTGCAGCATCGCTAGCGGCGTATTTTGGGTTTACTCTGGCCTGCTCCACCGCCCCCATGCCCTCGGGGCGCCCCCCCGCGCGGCGACGTCCTGGAGGGGGAAGGCGCCGAGCCGCGGAAGCCGCGAGCGCAGCGACTGGGGCGGCACACACCGACAGGCACACACAGACTGCTCTCGACCCCAGCAAGAAGAGAAAGGAGGAGGAGAGGGCGATAACGCAGGAAAAGAGAACATAAGAGGAAGGAGGAGGGCAGATGATGATAAAACCGGAGGAGGAGGAGCAGTAGGAGTAGGAGGAGGAGGAGGAGCAAAAGCAGGAAGACTTCGGAAGATCCGGCGGAGGCGATGTCGAGATACGCCTGCTATAGTCGTGGCCTGGCGTTGCACTGTCTCGCCTTTGCTCAGGCATACAATGGCCAAAATACCGTAGCCCTTCTCACATTACCCCTACTATGATATACGGGCCTACCACTGGTACCGGCGCATAACGGTCGACTGGGATGACGCGTGGCGCCAGCAGCAGGAGCGACAGGTACACGCAGCCAGGGGGAAAGGCAAGGGAGGCAAGCTCACCAGCGAAGCCTCCTGGCCGTCCGGGGACTATAGTCTCGCCTGCGAGAAATCTGATCCCACCAGGGCCACCCGGAAAACACCCGTTCCTTGGCTGGAGAAAGCGGACTCAGATCGCACAGGGAGGGCCTTCCCGTGGCATGCGGGTGCTCCGCTTCGCTCGGCGCACGACTACGGGCGCAGCCTGCCTGCATCCTGCGCGGTGACTTAGCTGGCTCCGATGTCCCCAGGTGCCCGCACCCCAAGGTGGGCACCCGCAGAATCTCTGTGCTAGCACCTTGCGGTTCTGCACGCGGGGTCTGCCGCCCGAAGTGGGCGCCCGTGACGACGCACATGCGAGCCTCCTCCCACAGGTCGGCCCCCCGCCGTCTTTACTTGTTTGTGCACTCTCGCGTGCTACCCCCCCCCGGTGGCACGGCCTGTTTTCTCCTGCCCTCACTTTCTGACCCAGCTGGAGCGTCCACATTAACAGGTGGATAACTTTTCTTTTCCTGGCTGGAGCGCCCGCCCCCCCAGGTGGGTGCTGCCACAAAGGTGTGACTTGTCCTGGCTGGAACGTCCAAACCCGCAGGTGGATGCTGCCATCAAAGTATTTGCGCCAATCAGGTGCGGCGGTTCAAGTGACAGGCTAGAGGACTCCAGAGTGGTAGTCCCGGTGCACCTGCTGGAGGCGTCTTGCTGCTCGGGCAGCTTCAGGTCAACCGTGCTGCCGTGCTGCGCGCTGGTGCCGCCTTCCGCGCGGCCTCTGCTCGCTGCGCGTCGGGCGGCCCTTCGCCCAGCTTTCGCCGGGTCGCCTGCCCCGCTGCTCTTGCAGCTGGGCGCCCTCGCCTGGCCAGCCTTGTGACCGGGCGTCCATGCCCCCTCCTGGCTTCGATGCGTGAGCTGGCCGGGCTGGCGGCCCCTTCGCTCCGCCGCCACCTGGGTGTTCCCATACGGTGGTGGGCTGCCTCGCCTCTGCCATACTCCAGCTGTTCAATTGCCGCCGGTCAGCAGCCAGTGGCCCCTGCAGCTGTCGCAGCTCACCTGCACAGCAGCTCATTTGGGCATTATGGCAGTATTTTGCTGCTCGGTCTGTTGGCCCCGGCCTCCCATGGTCGTTTCGGCCATGCTCGCATCCTGCTCGCGCCGTACCCTTGCAAGAAAACTGTTTTTTCTTCTACGGCTTCACGACAGACATCCGGGTGTTCCCGTTCTCGCCTCTGTGGGCTCGCTCGCCGCTCGCGAACTTGTGCAAGTTGCGCTTCGCTTTCAGCGCCTGCCGCCTGCCTCAGGCCCTGGGTGTGGTCGTGATGCCGCTCTGCGTCCACTGCCAGGCTGCCCCAGCACAAGCTTGCCGCCCCGACCACTCCTGCCGAAAATCTTCGTGCGGTGAATGCATCTTCCCCCGCCCGCCTTCCGCGCCCGCCCTCCGCCTCCCACCCCCCTTGGAATCGGACAATTGATTCGCCACGCTTCCCGGCCTACTAGAGCGCGCGTGCGGATGGCCTCTGCCGCGCTACGACGGGCAAACCGTATGGTGCCTTTGTGCAGGCGACCGCACGTTGTGCACAGTCAACTAAAACAACAATCGGCGAAGCCTATCGCGTGGAAGGGGTGCAGAACGAGCAGCCAGTTGAAGCCAATGGGCGAACATGTGGCCCCTGCCAATTGTCCTTGCAAGTCTGTGCCTCTACGACATTGCAGCCAGCACGGCATTCCCAAAGGGGGGAGGGCAAGGGAAGGGGAGAAATATGGAGGGTAGGGGGAGCCGGGAGACCGAGGGAAATGGAACAGGAGGATCAATAGGATGAGGACTCGAGGAAACAGATCCGATGAGGGATGGGAGCACGAGCGCGAGCACGACCACGAGGGGAACCTAGAGCACGAGCAAGAGCCCGAGCAGGCGAGACGAGGCGGACAAAAATGTGTGCTGGGTTCGCGCTGCTGCTGATTGCGCAAGCGGTGGAGGGAGGGGGGAAGGCGTCTCAAAAGGAGGCTGCTCTTTAGAAGGCGGCGGCCCTACATCGGTAGATAGACAAGGCCCTCGCCTTCTAAGAAGCAGGGGTGCTTGTAAGAAGCCATCTCCCCCTCCCCTCCCCCTTACCCCCCTCTGCGCGCTGCTGCTGACATCACGCGCTGGTGCTAGCCGCGTCTGCCTGTCCGCGGATTGCATCATACATATTGCATGATGCCACCGTTTCCACATTTGCAGCAAGCGGCCTCCATACCTCCCGTCAGGCGATCCTCGTTCGCTGCATCGCGACAAGCTTCTTTCGCCGAGGCTAATCGCACATACCAGCGACCTCTGCAAAAAACATGCGTGAGCCGAGCAACGGAAACAAATTCAAACTGTCGTGACAAAGGCGCGTGCACTGGTCGAGTCCCTCGGGCTATGGTGGCCCCTGAGTTTCCTGGTATGGGTTGGAAAGGGAATCTGGCGCAGAGCAGGGGACCAGATCACAGGCCGCTCTCTCAGACAGGGGAGCCGCTCACAGCGCATACGCCACCATGTCAGAAAAGAAAACACATGGAAACGCCATCAACTGCTTCGGCCCTTACCCACCACGCGGTTATGTGCACGTCGACGGACGGCGCTTTTTCGCTTTCGCCATCGGCGCTCGCCCTCCCGGCTCCTTGAACCATGGCATCTGTGGCATGGCCGCGTCGGGCAGGATGACCTGGAAACTGTTGCCTTGTTGCAACTATCCGAGATCATTTGCCCGCGCACCGAGCTTGCGTCGGCAGATCTAAGGCTGCATGCGTTGATGCAGCGGACGCTCGTTCCTAGTGCGCGATGGCACGAGAAAAGAATAATTCCGCGCGTGCGCGCCTGCACACCTGCCCCACTCTGGATGCGAATGACCAGCTACCGCTATGCGTGCCCATCTCCTCCAAGGCGCCCACACCTGCGCATGGAACCCAATGGTTCTGGTGGCGAACGCGTGGCTGTGCTGGGCGTTGCCGAGGGGTCATGCGGCGCGGCGGGCCCGGTCTGCTGCTTGCCATTCGCCATGTTGAACACGCCCGCCAGCTACCTGACGCGCGAGTCTATTAAGATGGTATCCTCGAGGTTCGCTGCGAGTGCCTCTTTGGCCAGGTGGAGACGCTCCACGACAGTTTCCCAGCTTTTGTGATTTGGCGGCGGGTCGAGAGGCGCTTCCAACTCCTTGAGCCAAGCGATCTTCGCGTCGACGGCCTCCCCATTGATCTGAACCGACTGAACTTCAAATGCCGCGGTCAATCTGGCACCTGGAGTCGGTATCATTGATCCCATGTGTCCCAGTAGCTCGGCGATGCGATGCTGTAGCTTCGACGTGGCGCTTGCTGCAGACTCAATCCAAAATTGATGGTTGCTACGGCCGCTTCCGCTACTCCTAGCACAGCACAGCAATCAAAAGATCCAAACTCAGACTAGCACATCCTTTTTTCCGCTACCCGCCTTCAGCAGTGGCCTTGGCCTCCACCACTTGTGCAGTAGATCTTGGCGTTCCAACCAACAGTCGCTCGCATGGCACGTCGGGCACGTCCACACTCCACGGCGCGCTACTAAAGGCAGCGGGCCTGGGAGTCCTGCGCAATGCGATGGATCCCCAAACTCCAAGGGACCTTGCACTGAACCACGCTTGAATAGCAGCAGCGGCAGGAGGGAGGAGGAGTAGCAGGAGTAGCGAGAGAAGGGGCAAGAGGATTTTTTCCCGTGGCATAGACCTCATGCCTCCGCCTGCACTCCGGCCGGGCGCCTCTGCGGTCCTTGCCGCCCTGCGCCTTCCGCTCCTGCAGGCGAGACCCCTGAAGGAGGGGGAGGAGGAGGAGAGGCTAAATGCCTACCTACTTACCTATGTTACATGCGTGTGTGCCGTATGATAGTGAAGCTAACATGTGTGATGAGTAGGGACAGACAACTTAATGAAAGCCAGCCCTTGCGGCCTGCTTCAACAGCGCCACATGCCGGTCGTCCTCTAGGTTGAGCGGTATCCCAGCAACGCTGACATCATAGGATTTGCCGATTTCCTTCCAATATTCAGAGAGCGTCAGCCTATACCAACTCATTTTGGGGCGCCCCACACGGAGCGCCCCCACGTCGCGTTGCTTCAGTGTTGTCGGGGTGAGCAGCATCGTTTTCACAGGGTCGTCGTCCCTGCTGGCAAGTATGGCTGCGAAGGATTTGAGCTCCATACGTGCGTAGTATTCGGTGAGCCTCTCAATGCGGTCTTCAGGCCGCTGCACCTGCAGCTGCTCGTTGGCGCGCGCGTATACATATGTGTTGCTGTGTTGTCTGTCAACATATGTCGTCGTGATCTTTAATATTTGTCGTAGCCCCTTCAATTGGAATGTGTCCAGGCGTTGCCGTGAGCTCTCCGTGAGCTGCGCCGACTCCAAGCCATACATGAGTTTCGAGCGGAGAATGGCGTTGAAGACCTGGAGTTTGAGTCGGACGGAGCAGTCTGAACTTTTGAAGAACAGTCCATGCTTTTTTTCCAGACACCCATGCACACGGAAAGGCGATGTCGTAGCTCCATCTGCGGGTCTCCTCTCTCGTTGACTAAACATCCCAAATATTTTACCTTGTGCATGCGCGGCACAACTGTTCCATTGCGGAATTTCAGGGCGACTTGTTGCCCAAACTGAATGATTTCAGTTTGGGCAAGGGCGGCCTCCGCGGGGGCCACCTTCGTGACCACTATGAAAGGGACTACGTCCGCGTGCGGCATCAGAAAGTCCTGGAACTGCGACTCCACGGCGGCGCCGTTGATCGAGTAGCCCTGTATGGCGATGGCGCGCTTGAACGTGACCTCGTGCTTGCTACCCGTGGGGGTCGTGATGGTACTGCTGCCGGTCACCAGAACGACGCCATCGTCCTTGGTGGCCAAGCTCCACTGCGGCGGGAGCGGCTCCCGGGGCCAGATGGTTTCCACCTCCTTGTTGGTGTGCTTGTCGAAGCCGAGTGTTGCCTTCACCGCCGAAAATGCGATGCTGCACGTCTTGCCCGCCGCAGCCTTGTTCTCCAAGACTGTGAAATTGACCCGCAGATTGAAGCGTCCAGCCACTTCCAGTAGAGCCTGTTCCACCTCCTTCTTCTGGTAGCCCGCCTTCACCCGGACGAAAATCTTCTTCTCGTTCTTGGCCTGGTTCGCGAAGGCCTGCACGACCTTTTCCTTCAGCGGCCCATTCGACAGGATGGCCTTCTCGACGTCTTTGCTCTGCTCCCAGAACTCCTTGGCCTTGATGCGCTTGGTCGGGATGAGTGTGATCAGCGTTTTCATCTCTCGCTCCTCCGCCAGGGCTGCGGAGTACTTCATGGCGGCAACTTCCTGCTTCAGCCCCTTGACGGCGTCGAGCGCCTCCGTCGCCTTCTCTGTCGCCTTCTTCGCAGCAGATCCCGAAGGCTTCCGCCCGCGCGTGCCTGCGTCTGCTGAAGCGGCTGCTGTGTCTGAGGCGGCTGCTGCGTCGAGGCCTATACCTTCTAGTTTCTTCCGCGGCCTCTCTCAAGCTCAGTGTCCTCGTCCTTCTCCATCTGAAAAGAATGGGCGATTAAACGGAAGATGGGATGGGAACGACGAAACAACCAGTAGACAGGATGGGAAGGGCGGAGCGGGCGGGAACAGGAAGTGTGAGAAGGGAAAAGATGAGAAGGCTTCCTCAGTGGAAGTCACAACCAAGATACATCCGATGAGTGCATGCCTTCCCCGGCAGGGAAAGAGCGCCACACAGTACCCAGAAAAAGCGGGAAAGATAAACAGGATAACGAGGAAAAAAGGGAGGAGGAGGAGGAGCACAGGAGGGCGGAATGGAGGAGGAACGGATGAAGAAGCATGAAAAGGCAGAGGAGGGGATGGAAGGGGGAGGAGGCTCCACAAAAAGGGTCACAGGGAGGAGGAGGGAGGAGAGGGTATGCGCCGGGAGGGAGAGCGGGAGGAGGATACAGCGAAACTCTTGCCAGGCATAACCTGGGATAATAAAAACGAAACCCAGATCGAGCATCAATTGGTTGCCTGGGCGCACGAAGAGCGCCAACGAAAAAAAACGGAAGGACCCAGGGAACATCGATCCCCTTCCGAACCCAAAGAGCACCCGATCTCAAGGATTTGATTGTGGAGGGGAGCAACATCATGAACTCCGCCGACCCTGTCGGCGTGTGGAATGCGTTGTTCGTCGTGGTTGTTGTCCTCGTACGTACTCGTCGTCTTCTTTTCATGGTCCGTCGCCGCTCCCCCCCTCTTTCCCTAGGCCCTCGTCCTCAAGCGCGCCAGCCAAAACAACATGAAGTAACCCAGCCGAAGCGAAATTAACAACGTTGTCATTGAGTTAAACGAAAGCCCCTTCCCTTTGATCCCCTCCCCGCCGGGGGGGGAGGGTCCCGGGGGGGGTCCAGGTAGGGGGTCCCGGGTCAAAATACCATCTCCCGCTTGCAGCTTTTACACTGTAGATGCGCTGGAGGAGGGGGGGGGTCGCCACGACGGATCTGCAAGAGCGCCCCTAGACGGCTCAAGCCCGACAAAACAGCCCAAGAACGCCTAAGGACGGCCAAAAGGGGCCCTCAGACGGGTCAAAGGAACCCCACAAGGACTCTCAACAAGGCCCGGAGAGGCCATATTCATTGATATTCAAACATGTTTTTTCCCCGCCCTGTCCCTCCCATTCCCGTCGAGAGCCGACGCCTCCAGAATTGGTTGCTCCTACTCGCTTCCTCTCGCTGCTCCCCCACTCCTCCTCCTCATTTACCTCCTCCTCCTCCTCCTCTTCCTCCTCCTCCTCCTCCTCCTCCTCCTCCTCCGCATTCCTCTCGCTGCTCCCCCACTCCTCCTCCTCCTCCTCCTCCTCCTCCTCCTCCTCCTCCTCCTCCTCCTCCTCCTCCTCCTCCTCCTCCTCCTCCTCCTCCTCCTCCTCCCCCTCCTCCTGCTTCTCCTCCTCATCCTCCCCCCCCCATCCTCCCTTCTTCCCCGTTCGCTTCCTCCACCCTTCCTCTTTCCCCCCCCACTCCTCCTCCTCCTCCGCCTCCTACCCCCCCCGCTCGTTTTCATCTTCGTCGTCTTAAAGGTCGGCGGCACCTGCCGTAAGGCCTTCGCAACAGGGTGAGCGATGGGGAGGGCCGCAGCGCGGCTGCCCGCCTTCATCATCGTCCAGGTGGTGCCGTCTGGGCGGATGCCTGGCCCCATGACCGACGCCACCATGACCTCCAGGAAGAGAGGGGGGATGGGGAAGGGACGAGAGGGCGGCCAAGGAGGAAGATGAGAGGGAAGGCAACGGAAGACGAAGAGGAAACCGGAGTCGGGGTGGAAGCCTTGGCAACTGGTGAATGATGTGCGCTAGAGAAGGGGCTCGTGTCGCCTGTCTTGCGAGCTCGGTGGCTGCTGGCGGCATCATCGGAATTGCAAGGGTCAGCCTACGGGTCCCTGGCTTTTGTGAGCCCTATAAGCCTGCTGCAGCTCGGAGCCGAGCCTCAAGGAACAACAACATCGACATCGAATGGAGGCCTATGAAGCTGTGTCCCGTCACCTCCCCCTCCCCTGGAAAACGGTCAATGGTCACAACGCTCGTTAGTTCTTGCGAAACCGTCTACTGAGGTTCGCAATCAGCATCCCCACCCCCTACCCAATCACCCCGTCCCCACGGCGCCACACTGAGGCTCGAACTTGTCCTCGAGAGTCGGCGGCTGGTGCATCTCGTGCACCATATGCGGAGCTGGGAGCTCTGGCCCATAACACGCAGCAAGTACGAAACTCGGCTGCGGTTTCACTCCTGGGCCGCAACAGGCAAAACAGCGACTGCCCCTACCCTGGACCACTCGACGGCAGGAAAAACGTCCGAGACCGCTCTAAAGTCCTCCAGAGAACAATCCTGGCAAGGCGCCAGTCCTGGGGCCATCCAGCAGGGGAAGCGACGAGAGCGGCAGGCGAAGGCCCGAAGCGAACGCCTCATTCTGTGCCGGACTCCACTTAGCCCGCAGCGTCGCTCCAGCACTCCGCCTTCCGCCTGGCCTCCTGGCCGAGAAAGGGCTGCAATCGTAATGAACACGACATGTTCTGCACATGTGCAAATCTGAACGCTCGAGCGGACCCTTCCTTGGTGGTGGCCCAGTCGAGCGAGTAGATCACGGGCACGAGAACTACCACGTTGAGCCATCTCCCTGAATTCGCTCATTTTCACTGTGCCACCGCCTGCCTCGCGCGAAATGCTGCCCGCAGCTGCCTCTCGAGCACCGGTGGAGGTGATGATCCGAAGATCTGCTCCGCCTTCAGCTGTCTCAATCCGCGGCAAGTGGCTGCCCTCAACTCCTGCGCCGCATATTGACCCAGCGTGATCGGCTCCTCCATGTTGCCCTCGCGGATCGCGTTGAACGGTTCTTCCCGCTTCTCCTGCCATGGCGAGGCGCTGACTGTATTGAGCATAGCGTGGATATTCCATTTCTGTGGCTGGATTGGCTCGCTGAAAGCCTTCTATTCCCGAAAGTATGACAGGATGTCGGCGAATCCGCTCATCGCCAGTACCTCTATAAGCTGGCCTAGCTCGACCAGGATCTTCTTCGTCTCGCCCTCTAGCGTCTGCTTTTTCACTATCGCAAGGAAGGGCTCCGCCCCCAGGAGGGGGAGGTCAAGTCAACGCAACGCCCGATCGGCCCAAAGGCCGGTCCTGATTCAGAACACGGGGATGAGCATGCACAGCGGCATTCCTTAGGATTGCCACCGGAAAATGTGGAAAACATCGTGGCAGTAGCATCAGTTGTTCGTCTGGCCAGACTACGCCGGCGCAGCCACGCCTGGGAGAGAGAGGGAAGGGAGGGAGGGGAGGAAAGACGGGAGGGGAGGAGGGGAAGGGAACGGCAGCGGCAGCATCGGCGATCAGTCAGTCCATCTCTGTCTCGGCCTTCCCCGCCGTCTGTGCGGAGAGTGTTGTAGGAGGTGATGACGAACTTGCGCCGGAGCCCAGCTGGCGGCCAACTGCGCTACTAGCGGCGCCGTTCCGGTTTCGACAGTGCGAGCAGCCTGTCTCTGGCGAGCTCCCTTACCCGGCTCCACTCCATCACGGGGTGCCGCTGGAGCGCGGCCTCTAATCTTGTGTTCATGCGATGTCCTGTGGTCTCCCAATCCTCGTGGTCATAACGAACCCATCCAACGATTTGTCGCAGCATCTTACTTTGAACGACATCCAGCTTGCCAGTATGTTCCGAAGTCAGCGGTGTCGTCGACAAGCTGTAGCAGACAGCAAGGGTAACGACGCTGTGAAAGAGTTTGAGGCGCAACAGAACAAGAATCTTCCGGAATCTTCCGGTTCAACAAGTCAGACGAGCAAAAAAAAAAAAGAGGGAGGAGAGAGCGACGAGGAAAAGAGGGAGGAGCGGCAGCAGCACCAGCAGCAACAGTAGCAGCAATAGCAGCACAACCAGCAACAGCAGCAGCAGCGCAACAGCAGGATAATGGTAAGCAGGGTGAGCAGGGTGAGACGGGGGAGGAATATGTTTTCGATGATAACGAGCGACAGAGCGAGCATGGCCATGAGGCATGGGTGGAGCAGTAGCCGCAGTAGGAATACGGAGCGGAGGACACGAAGGAGGGCGAGAGCGAGAAAGAGGAGGCCGGCAAGGAGGGTGAGGAGGGAGGCGGCGGCCGAGGACAAGGACGAGCACGAGGAAGAGGAGGGGATCCCCGCCGCCCGTCGCGCGCACGCGCGCGCGCCGCGGCGCCCCTTGGCCCGCTGCGCACCGATCGGCGCTGGTCCGAGGTGCTGCCGCTGCCACAATGCATCAGGCGCGAGTCGTAGATGACCGCGTCGCCCCTCCTGCGGGCCAGGACGGGGGGGGTCGCTCCTTCTCATCCTCCGCATGGTCCTTGTCGAGGATCGTGCAAGGCGATTCTTTGAACGTATTTGCATTTCGGAGCCGCAGAGAGCCTGCAGAGGCCTCCAGGGAACTCTGGAGGCCTCCAGGACCTCTGGAGACCCAGGGGGACCTCGAGGAGAAGGGATCGGGACGGGGAGGGGAGAGGGGGAGGAGCAAGGGTGAAGTTGCAAATCCGCCTGCCTCCCTCCCCCTCCCCTCCCAAGGGCCCAATCATCTCGTTGGAAGGGGGGAGGGGTCCCCATACGAACTCCCCCACGCACCTCCAGGGCCCTCGGAGCCTCGGAATCCACCACCCGTGGCATCCGGGGTACCCAAGATGTCTTCCAAGACGGCTCAAGACGGGCGCGCCCGAACGGCTTCAAGAACACCCTAGATGGCCTCCACATGGCCCACGAGGCCCCCAAGAGAACCCTCGATAGGGGCCTCAAGACTTCAACACCATTGATCTTCCAAAGGCTATTCGATGTTCTCGCGCTCTCGCCTTTCAGGGCTTCTGCTAGCCCCAGGCGGTCCGCGACCCCCCCCCCGCTGGAGAGGCTCAGCACTGGCGAGGGCCCCCAGACGGCCCAAAAGGCAGCCCATACGGACTCCAAGAGAGGCCTAGAAGAGGCCAAAGAGGGGAGCCGCAGGGCCCCCGGGCCCTCTCCCAACACAAGATGGGGCCAAGACCCCCAACGTGCCCCCAAGAGGGCCCCAAGAAGCCCCCAGAGGGCCCAAAGAAGCTCTCAGGCACGTTGAAAGGCTCCCACGAGTCAACCCAAGAGGCCTCGAAGAGGCCTCCAAGAAGCCCCGCAACAGAAGTGAGTGAAGAGGAGGACAAATCAGCAACAACGAGACACAGGCATCACGACAAGAAGCGGCAAACAACACATACGAAATCATTATCTTCTTGGGTCAGAAGAATGACGTAAGTCTCCGGAACAGAGTGTCCTGTCTTCCTCTTCTTCTTATCAGGATGGCCAGAAGGAGGGGGTACAGAGGAAGGAGAGGGGAGGGAGATCGGGGGGGAAAGTGGCCTGGCGGGAACGTGGAAGGAGGAGAGGGAGGCGGCGGTGAGCGGCAAGGATGGGGGGGGGAGGATAGAACAACGGGATTCTTCCATACATGAACAGATTCATCCTCTCCCTCTCCCTCCCCCTCCCCGCCCATCGCCCAGCCTCCCATCTTCTCCACTCCTCGTTTTGTCCCTCGCTGCCCCTCTCCATTTCTGTCCTTGGCTCCCCCACCCCACCCCCTGGGCCTCAATCCGCCGAGGCTCGAATCTACAGATCTTGCGACGCATTCCAGAGCCAGGCCGAAAGCAAGCCTCAGCAAGCCCAGCTTGACAGCTCACTGGTGTCATGACACTTCACCCTCTGATTGGGTGCGCTTATACAACAAGCCTTTCTCGCGCCTCTCTTCTACTTTCGCCTTTCCTTATACACATTGCTTCCTCTCCCTCTCCATTCACCCTCCCTCGGTACTGTACGGCTCTCATGGGGCGCCGCCCAGGTCCTGAGGGTCATCTTCAGGTGCTCCACGCCGAACACCTTGTCTGCCTTTAGGGGGTAAATGGGAAATGATGAGGAGAGGAGAGGAGGTACCTTACCCCTGTCCCTCTGCTCCTCATCGCCCTCATCCCCGTCCTCCTCCGCGTACTCCTCTGCATCCTCCTCCGCGTCGTCGTCGTCCTCCTCCTCCTCCTCCTCCTCCTCCTCCTCCTCCTCATCATCAGTATCATCAGTATCATCAGTATCATCAGTACCATCAGTACCATCATCACCATCATCACCATCAAACTCCTAATTATCATCCTCCTCACATCCAGCATCCGCACGAATTTCCTCTGAACAGAGAAACGTCGATGGACCTGGGGGCTCCTTCTGGGCTCTGGCTGGTCGACCAGCACTCTGGTGCCGCCAAGCCCGTTGGGTCGATCCTGGCGCCCCCAGTATGCTTTCGATGGCACACGACCAATGTCACCCGTCCAAAAACAAGACCACATGCATATTCGGAATAATCCATCGTTAGAGTGACGGGGCTGAGCGCTCTTCCAACATCCCTGTGTGCGTGGGTCAAATGGAATTCCGTGGCCCGGGTTCTACGTATTGGTTGTTGCTGGTGTACGTTGTTTTGGTGTTGGATTCGCATCCAAAAGAATAACATAATGACTGCTGTACATCCCCCTCTACTGCACCTTGTGTGTTTAATTGAAATGCTCCTGCCAGGCCCCGCACCCATTTTTTAACAACGGAAATATTTGAGTCCCAGATTGTGTTGCTGGCCCTCTTTGCCACAACAACGGCTCCCGCTGGATACCCCCTCACAGTGTACAGAAAAATCGCGCTCCCGCACTAGAATATCATGGAAATGATCCGGGAATTGCACTCTCGCGTGATCTTCCCTTCAATGTTAGGAGGCAACTACTGGGACGCTTTCGTCGGAAAGATTAAGAAGGGGATCAAACCCCATTGGGGGGCTGTTACGCCGGAGTTGGCCTCGGACCAAGCGGGACTAAGCCGGATTAGGCGGGATTAAGCGGGATTCCGCCAGATTAAGCGGGATTAAGCGGGATTAAGCCGGATTTCGTACCAGGGCACAATCCGAACTTGACCTCCCAGGAGTTGCATCCGAACCAATCTACTGAAACGCCGCGCCGTCGACACTCAAGAACCATGTTTTGGCCATGATTTTCCTAGCGTGTCATGTTGGGCTGGCGCTTTCACGACCCGCCCGCTCGACCCAGACGTCTGGGCTCGCCCGCAAGATCCGCCCGTTACGGTCTGCACGCCCGCTCCCGCATCATCCTGCAAATCTCTCTCGCGTACCATTCGTTTCCCTCCTCCTTGCCTCTTCCCTCCTCCCTCCCGTCGCCTGTTTCAAAGGCTGCCAGTCCACGTGGCAAGTAAGGAAGATACACCCAACATAATGGCGCCAAATCAAAAAAACGAAAAGGGCGGGCATCCTGGGTTTAGGAGATACGTGTTAAATTGCCCGCGGGCATATGAAAGTAAACCGTCTTAAAGTGATTGGTGTTGCTGTGTTTGCGCTTTCATTCTTCTACCAACAACTATTGTTGATCCCCCCTCCAAAGCATATGCTGGTTTCCATTCCAGTGCGCCTCCCGGGCCTCGCACCTTTTGTTGTCAAGAGGGAAGGTCTTCAGCCTCAGACCGTCCCTCTTGGATTAGGCTTGGTGTCGTCAGTGCCCCCTCTGGGGCTCCTTTTGTTTCTGCTGGATCACCCAATATGCCTTCACATGTAGCAAAGACTGATCTGGGTTAACCCAACAGCCGAAGTAGAAAAAGGTAGTAGCTTCGGTCGTACTCGGACGAGTAGTAAAAGTAATAGTAGCACGGCGGGGGGATTGGACAATGAATCCTTCGATAAGGTATCCAGGGTCTGGAGGCCCGTGAAACTCCAATTGAGGCTTGGCCACGGATATCACCGCCACCATCGTAAAATAAGGAATCCTCCAGGGTCTTCAGCCTCCTGGGCACATTCCCGAATCAACGCCCCCACCGAAATAGTAGTCGTAGCAGTAGTAGTAGTAATAGTAGTAGTAGTAGTAGCAGTAGTAGTAGTAGTAGTAGTAGTAGTAGTAGTAGTAGTAGTGGTAGCAGTAGTAGTAGTAGTAGCAGAAATAATAGTAGAGGTAGTAGTAGCCGTAGTAGTAGTAGTAGTAGTAGTAGTAGTAGTAGTCGTAGTAGTAGTAGTAGTAGTCGTAGTACTCGTAGTAGCAGTAGTAGTAGTAGTAGTAGCAGTAGTAATAGTAGTAGTAGGTGTAGCAGTATTGGTCGTAGTAGTAGTCGTAGTAGTCGTCGTAGTAGTAGTAGTAGTAGTAGTAGAAGTAGTAGTAGTAGTAGTAGTGGTAGTAGGAGTAGTAGTCGCAGTCGTACGCGTAGTCGTAGTCGTAGTAGTAGTAGTAGTAGTAGTAGTAGTAGTAGTAGTAGTAGTAGTAGTAGTAGTAGTAACAGTAGTAGTAGTAGTAGTAGTAGTAGTAGCCGTAGTAATAGTAGTGGTAGTTGTTGGAACATACAACAGTCGTAATAAGTGGTAAAAGATGCAACAATAATAAAAGAAGTGGCGGTGGTAACATTAAGAATATCAATCGTAATAATAGCCGTAATTGCAGTCGTAGTAGTTGTACTCGTACGAGTAGTAGTAGTAGTAATAGTAGCAGTAGTAGCAGAAGTAGTAGTAGTAGCAGTAGTAGTAGTAGTAGTAATAGTAGTAGTCGTAGTGGTAGTAGTAGTAGTAGTAGTAGTAGTAATAGTCGTAGTCGTAGTCGTAGTAGTAGAAATAATAGTAGTCATAGTAGTTTGAGTAGTAGTAGTAGTAGTAGTAGTAGTAGTAGTAGTGGTAGTAGTAGTAGTAGTAGTAGTAGTAGTAGTAGTATCAGTAGTAGTAGTAGTAGTAGTAGTAGTAGTAGTAGTAATACTGGTAGTAGCCGTAGAAGTCGTCATCGGAGTAGTAGTAGTAGTAGTAGTAGTAGTAGTAGTAAAAGTAGTAGTAGTAGTAGTAGTAGTACTAGTCGTAGTCGTAGTAGTAATAGTAGTAGTGGCCGTAGTAGTAGTAGTAGTAGTAGTAGTAGTAGTAGTAGTAGTCGTAGTCGTAGTCGTAGTAGTAGTAGTAGTAGTAGTAGTAGTAGTAGTAGTAGTAGTGGTAGTAGTAGTAGTAGTAGTAGTCGTAGAGGCAGTATTAGTAGTAGTGAAAGTAGTGCGAAGAGAAGTAGTAGTAGTAGTAGTAGTAGTAGTAGTAGTAGTAGCCGTAGTCGTACTAGCTGTACAAGTACGGATGGTAGTAACAGTCGCAGTGGTAACGTTTGTAGCAGACATTGTGGTGGTAATGCGACTTATAAGAATAGTGTTGGTGCCACTAGTAGCGGCAATCGTCATAATAGTAGTACTCATATAAAACGAATAAGTCAAAATAGTGATAGTAGTAGAAGTAGTCGCAATAGTATGAATAACAATATCGTTAGCGATGCTACTACTTCGCCGCTACGAAAGTTCGGCCAAAATTCAACGCCTCCCGTTAGGCGACGGGGCCCCAGTACAACGTTGGCAGTGGGCCCGTTAAGCCGCGGGGCCCCAATACAATGTTCGGTTGAAGCATTTTTCGCTCCAGTCTCGGGCGGCACCGCCCTTTCGAAATCGAGCCCGCGGGTTTCGAAATCCAGTCGAACTCGTTTTGGGGAGGAAATCCTAAGAGAAAACCACATTTCGAAATCGAGCCCGAGGGTTTCGAAATCCAGTCGAGCTCGTTTTGGGGAGGAAGTCCTAAGCGAAACCTGCATGTTCGAGTTCTCGGGTCAGGGCTTTAAAGAATTTAAATGCCAAACGGTGTGGCCATGTCGAAACGGCGGCTTCGCTTGATACGTCCTCGAAACAAATTATTTCGAACGATTTCGAAACTTTCGGGTTCGACTTCGAAATGGCTCTCCCGCCTAGGACTTCCGCAAAAATAAAATTCGAAACCTTTCTGCTTCGATTTCGAAATGGCGGTCCCGCACAGTACTTCTCAAACATAAAAATCGAAACCTTTCTGCCTCGATTTCGAAACGGCGCTCCCGCACAGGACTTCCTGCAAAATGAGGTTCGGCATTTGTTCCGTTCGATCTCGAAATGGCGCTCCCGCCCAGGACTTCCTCCAAAACAGAATTGGGAACCTTCGGGTTCGATTTCGAAATGGCGCTTCCGCCCAAGACTTTCTCAATCAAGACTAAGATCAGAACCAAGCAAGACCACGACCACGACACCTACGACGACGACGACGACGACGACGACGACGACGACGACGACGGCGGTTACGACGTTTACATGCGCTCTCGCCCGAATGCCGGCCACTCCTTAGGTCTCGCCTCACCGCCGGCCAATGTCTCGGTCTGGCCGACCGCTCTCTGGGGTGGCGCCCGGAGAGGCCCCCGGTGCGGCGCTGGCCCCCTTCCGGAGGGGGGGAAGTGCCGGGGGGAGACACCCGCCCCCCCCCTTCAAGGGGGGGACCCCTTGGGGGAGATACTGCTATCACCCCCAAACAGGCACATTTTTGAAAAAGACCCGTCCATTTGGGCTGCTTCCGCTTGAGCCGCCTGATCTACCCCATTTCCGATTGGAAAACCAATATGTTTTCCAATCGTTTTCTGGGTTACGGCCTTCTCTGCAAAATCGTGTTTTTTTTTGTCGTTGCGACCCCAGCCCGGAGGCCGAATCCAAGAGGTAAAGCACGACTCATCCGCCCGTTTGGGCTGCTACTGCTTGGGCCGCCTGATCTACCCCATTTCCTACTGGAAAACCTATATGTTTTCAATTAGTTTTCCGGGTTCCGGCCTTTTCTGCAAAATCGTGTGTTTTTTGTTGCGATCCCAGCCCGGAGACCGAATCCAAGAGATAAGGCACGACTCATTTTGACTAGTTCCGCTTGTGGTCACATTCTCGGCTCCTCTCCTCTCCTCCTTTGGTCAGTCATCGTAGGCACGGGGGTGCTAGCGTCAAGGTGATTATCGGCGCTCGGCTGCTCATAGGTTCTGTGGTGCTCTCAGGCTTTGGAGTGATGCTCA